ACTAAAGTAAGAAGCAAAGGCGCAATCTTTTTTAGTGTAATGTGTTTTTGTTGTGTTGGAACTGGCGTCGAAAAAGTGGATTTCAAAACCCTGAACTCGGGTTTGCGAAGTTTTCGCTTAACGTTTGGGGAAACAGCGTTCCCTGACACCTGACAGGAAGTGCGTCGCTCCCAAATCGTTCAAACAAGGCGCCGTCGCAGTATTGACTGTTCTCTCGGAATATTGCCTAAGGCGACACTTTTAATTAAATCTTGTGTTTAGAGTTATCGGACTAGTTCATAATTTAAATATCATTAACACGGATGGTGACCACAAAAGCCGAAGCAAGAATTAGCCCGTAGGGCTCGATATTTTCACACCAAGAATTACGAAAGGCTCGTTGACTGAAGAAAAATACAACACAAATAGTGCAAAACAAGCAGAAAGTGACAAGACCAAAAAATGGGAAAAAAGATTAGATTATAAAAAAAGTACTGCTAGGGCAAGCTTAACTTTACAGTTTAAGTCTCCACTGCCCCGCCCAGGAACGCACTTACAAATTCCAGTATCATTTTTCGTGACACCCCTCAAATTTCAGTCTGAGTTTTTCTTTCTTATTAAAAACGCTGTTCTAGTGAACTTCAAGTTAGGAATTCTACAGATATTAAAAATAAATATTAGATATTGCGGGGCGAAAGGCCCCTCTTCCCCCCTCCTGACTTTTCGCGATTCCCCGAGTTTTTCGACTCCAGTGCATTACCAGTCATACAAAAAACGGCGATACAATTTTATTTCACACTTAATATAAATGGGGCGCTTCAAGTAAACTAGACACCTTCGAAAAATAGAACGATCTTAAGGGCTACGTCGAAAACAACGCCTAGAGAACGACGTCTAGGGCAGCCTCTAGGACGACCTCTAGGACGACATCGTCATTGAGCATACGATTGAGCGGCGCGTGCTCGATGACTTATTTGATGGCCCTCTTTCGGGCGCCACGACACCGCTATTTCGCCTTAAAAGAATCCATTCCAGCCGGAATTAGTGTTCGTAATGACTAAAGTTGATTTCTTTCTTAGAGCACATAATCTCAAGACGAGGGCGGAGTTTATACAGTTTAGCTGCGACCTGTACATTGTTTTCGTCCATGTCACCACAAAAACATCAGGTTCGCGTTTTTCTTTTTAAGTTTCTGAGCCGCTTTGTTTTTTGCATTGCCAACCCTAGGAAATGCACGAGTATTGGCGGCGTATCGATTATGAGGCCGCTTGTTCCTCCACCGCGTTAGGGGAGTGGCCGCTGTATTTGAGATTCTCCCATTGTTTTCGGTGACAGGTAGTGCTTGGAAAGACAAGCTTGTGCGTGTTGCCTGAGTTATGAACGTCAACTTCGTCAAGTATTCACTCCTCCAAGTTCTGAAATGCAAGATAATTTTGAGAAAAATGTGCGAGAAACCACGCGGCAATCGCACGAATTTTATAACATGAACAAATAGTTTTGTCTCTTACGTTGAAAAATGAAGCACTGTCTGGTATTGATCGTAAAACAATTTTCAATATGCTTTTACCAATACCATATCTTCTATTTTAGTCTAACAAATACCCTGGTTACTCGAAGATAGCACAAAACAATTTTGCCATGTCCTGAATTCTATACGATTTTCGGTTGACTTTTTGCGCAGGTGTCCCAATCTTTAGGCGTGCTTGTGGTTTTTGCCTACGTATATTCACAGCTCGAACATAACTTATGGGAATTGTAAATCCAGAAATTCCAAATAAATATTCTCGTACGCGTCCAGCTTGCGCGATCAAGGTATCCAATAATTTCCCTGCTTTGATGGGAAGAGCGAAACAACGTTTTTGTTGCTTTTTTTTTTTTTTCATGGCAAAGAAAAGAAATGGTATATTTCTCATCACCTGTTTAGTATACCGGGTGATTCAAGGAGACGGCAGGCTCTTTAAATTGACCGGAAAAATCGGTTTCTTAACCTATCGCGCTACGACTTTGTGCAGCGTTGCCCACAGATGGTGCATTTTTTTTTTTTTTTTTGTAAAATTTGCAAAGAGGGAATTACCTGAGGAAAAAGTAAAGAAAGAAAAGGGCTTAGCTCCTATGGAAACGCAGCGACGCCACTGGTCTTCAAACAACACAGTGCCGTTCCGCACGGGAGACAAGAGATGGCGCAACAAACGCCGCCAACGAACGAGCATACGGCGCCGAGAGCAGGCCTATTTAGCAGTCGATCTTTTCGACTCAAAAGCGGCGCGCGTTCCGCAGGCGGCGACAGTCACAGAAACAAAAAAGACAGGCGCGGTAGCAGCAAGGAACTGCAGTTCCTTGTCTGCGAAAGGGCTGGCTCTCGGCGTCGTATGTTCGTTCATTGGCCGCAGTTGCCGTTGCGACCGCTTGCGCCATCTCTTGTCTTCCGTGCGAAACGGCGCAGTGTTGTTTGAAGACCGGTGGCGTCGCTGCGTTTCCCTAGGAGTTAAGCCTTTTTCTTTCTTTAGTTTTTTCTCAGGTAAGTTCGCTCTTTGCAAATTTTACAAAAAAAAAAATGCACCGCCTGTGGGGAACGCTGCACAAAGTCGTAGCGCGATAGGTTAGGAAACCGAATTTTCCGGTTGATTTAAAGAGCCTGCCGTCTCCTTGAATCACCCGGTAGAAGCGGAACGCTCATGAATCTATTTGTGAATTTTGAGACTGCTGATATAGGTCAATCGTATTAAACCCGCATAAAGAACAATTAGATGAAACCGGCATTATTGTACTTAAAGCAAAAACACACGGATTTATCTAATGTCATCCTCTAACTTACCCTCACCCTGCATGGTCCTCATATTCAAGTATACGGTGATAGAACTTCACGGTTCGGCTCTCGTATTCACCATGAATGTAATTCAAAAAAGTAACTGAGGCTGTTGCACACGTGACGTATATCGTATATCGTGACGATATACTTCACGCATTTCTTGTCCCTCTGAAGCTGATAAAGGATACCTTACCTCAAAACTGGTGAATTTTGTACAGACTGCAAAGCATCTCTAGACGTTTTTTGTCTTTATTAACAAACTCCAGTGTACTCACATTTATACGAGCGCATCGACTAAAGCGTAAATTTGATCGCACGATATGGGCACACTAGATACTGAATTAAAGCTGCAGTGGATTCCCGGACAAAGGGATCTTTCCGGAAATAAGGAATTCGGTAAACAGTCAGACGGGCACGCACAATGGAAAGGAATCCCGCTTTCCGAGAGCAATATTAAGTGTCAGTGTGTATCATTTCAAATGAACGGCAACCGACATATAGTTTAACGATGCAGGATGACAGTTCACTTTATACCACCTGGGTTCCCAATTGTATTTATATGTCGTAAATTGCCTCCCAAGATATTCGAAATGGCTATTCACTGTTTGTGAAGGTTGACGTAAAATTGATCAAAATTACGGTATAATTTAGGTTATGAAGGGCAACCACATAATGTAAGTAATTTTATTAAGTTCACCGCAGTTGGTTGCAACTCTAAGAAAGTTAAGATACCTTAGATAAAGTCATTTTTACCCTTCGTGATTGCTTAGACATTATTACAATCAATTGATGACGCAAAGGTGTCGTCGAGCACAAACAGGCTTGGCGATAACAGCATCGCGCAAAATGGGCCGATTGGATGAAGCTCCTGATGGTTTTGGCGGAAAGGTACGCTTCTTTGTTTGCGGGCGTAAAAGGAATGTTTAATATCTCTTAGTGGGCTCGAGTTGTTTCATGCACAATGTGCGTTGCATCCTGTGTAATTACTACTGAGTGATGGATGTTGAAAACCTCATGTTAGCACTCGTATTGCACTGGAAAAATATACCGTTCACTGCGGAAGTGTCGAAACTCCATTAGAAGGTATAGCTAACTTCCCGTTTTTGAAATATGCACAGAACAAATCTGACTTCTTTTTCTTTTTTGGGAAAGGGAGGGGGGGTTATTGCATCTAATACTTATTTTTGCTTTGCTTTTAAATGCATCCGTTCGTTTCTCTGAATGGTGCCTTTAGATTAGAATCTGTAATAATTTGTATTCATTATGGTCGAGTAGATGGTAACCATTTAGCGCAGTCAACATCTTTATTAAAATGCTTGTGTCAAAGAAGAAGGCGTTAGAGCAACAATTCGTGTATTCAATTTAATCTAGGATCAAACCGACATCTGATACGTACGCAATCGACTGTTTAAATTGTACGTAAAAAACAAATTTATACCGTTGAACCGAACATGACTTGCATCAAAAAAAAAACACAAACATGTGTATAGGCTGTACGAGACATACCCAAAAATCGTTTATTGCATAAATGTTTAGTCTGCGGCCGGGGAGTTACTCTAGTCTCGAAAAGGGCTCCCATATTCCCCCCCGCGCAAATTATGCAATCGTACGGTACGCACAATAACCGCCAGCCCACCTGGTATTCGTTTCGAAAAGCATCAAAATTGCGAAGCACTCGCGAACGAAATCACCGCGTTCCCCGCATCCGCACAGCTCGGCTATCTCGTTAACCAAGGCCAATCCCGCCGGGCGTGCGCACCCGCGGGCTCCGGCACCGGCTGCAAGGTGCCCCATCAGCGGCGTTAGATTGACGGTCCCAAAAACGGTCAACCCTGGCGCCCCTAGCGCTCCGACGACAGAACTCGTCGTAATCATGGCTCTCCCAACGAATCCTCCTGACCAGTTAATAAAACCGGAGGGGGGACGCCCCCGCGCACAGCCGTGCCGCAGTCGGGCGTGATAGGCACCTGTGCAGTGAGCCGGAGTAATTAAATTGTACCAAACTCTTGCCTGCGGAAGCTCGTCTCGGCGCGAAACGCGGAGGCATAACCCAAAAGATCGAAAATGAACTCCACCCGACCCAATCCAGACACACTCCGGCAAAACTTAGTTCGAGCTTCGCCCGCACCGTACCGCCGCGGGCGCTGCGGGCGCACGGGGGCAAGGGAGAAAAATATGGAGAAGGGGAAGCAATAGGGTAGGGAGAGGGAAGGGGAGGTTCGGCGTGGAACGCCAGAGCTCGTACATCCGCAGCATCCGCATCACTTCAACCGCTCCCCAGGTCGCACGTGCGCTTTCTTCCAACCCCATCGCTGTTGTGCTCCGCGCGCTGCGGCGCTTCTGGCTGTTTCTGACAACGTTCTTCCTTGGCTTGCGTCTCGGCACGAACGAGAGATTGCGCCGTTTTCTTGTTTTCGCCGCTCGTACCGACATCGTGATTTGAAAGAGCGATCGCGTAAGGAAGTAGATTCAACGCCAGTTTCGTTTCGTGTGTGTGATTCGGGCTCCTGTGTGCGTGTGTTTCTGAAGTGCTCGTCCATCTGGGCGGTTCATGGAAGGGCGGCTCGCAACTGCTCTAAGAGCGTTCGTGCTCTGACTCTGAGTAGAGGCCGATTATTAATATTGCGAGAACAGGAAAGAAAATTGGCCTCGCTGATGTGGAGGGGACCTACGTTTGACGACTGAAACACTCGTAGTTTGAAAAGTTGTAGAACGGTGTCGGAAGAAGCGTCTTCGAGACGAACGGACGTTCGTGATATTGTGGATTTGGAGCATCGGAGTGGTTCGAGAGGACTAGGGAACTGCAGCCGACAGAGCTGTCTTTGCGGGGACAACATTAAGGTGAGTTGAGCAATGTTTTTGTTTAAAATTTTGTTGTTTTATTCGCTTCACAAAATTCTAGTTCGGATAAAGCGTCCACTATACGCACATAGAGCGTAGTTGGAGTCAAATCGTTATTCCGAGAGTCCACTCTGCAGTGGAAGGCGGCATCGAGGATTGAAACAATATCAACAAAGCAATAATCTTAAACGAATATCCTAATACTGCATTCCCTTTTTAAAATCGGTTTTAGAAAATTTGTTAGACCGGCATGCATTCGTGAAGGAATTACGACGTAAACTTATGTCTCGCCTAATTTTTTGCGAAGTTCAATCCAATAGCATAATGTATCACAGATTCAAAATAAATCTAAAATGGCCGGCATGATATATGCGAAAACAAAAAAGAAAAACGTTCACGCTATGTAGATTAGATACTACGCCACTTCATTTTGTTGCATTTTATTTTAGTCTTATTGCCTGTGGGTCACTACCGAAGCGCTTCAGTCGTTCGACCGTGCATTCAAGGCAGCCGCTCTACATCGGATTTCCCACCACATGCTGCAGCGGTAAATACACCCCTTTGGTCGTACCTCTTCACGTTCGCGACGTCATTCGCGTTAAATCTTCGATCAAAAGTTCAAGTAGAAGCTGGAGAAGAGAGAACGGGTAAGGGGTCAAACCTATTCGACTGTTTCACCAAATTTAACCTACGGAACGCTTAGAAACTAATTAAATATTCTGGACTGCCCGGAAAAGGCATGTTTCTCATTTAAATAACGACGTACACTTTGTTTCCTTCTCGTCTTTCTCACTTGTGTTGCACTTGGGATGTGATCGCACTAGTATTGATATTTTCTTTCTCGATAATGCGTCCATTCTCCGGTGCGACGTATAATCTAAATATATTGACTTTCTCTTTAACTATTCATTGCAATCATGCTGCTGTGTGCGTGTTAGGATCAAGCGGCATTTAACCCAACAAATGACTAATAACTAAATAGGTGGCATGTACGTGAGCGAAGTGGTGGAGATCTGACATATTAAGGCTAACATATTGCCAGAAAAATAAATATCACACAGCTCCATTATCCTTTCTTCCTTTTCTTTTATTTTTTCGGGAGAGGGGGGGGGGGGGGGTAGGTGTCTGAGGTATGGTTAAGTTGGTCGAAGCGCGATTGAATGCAGAACACTATAAATAAGCATATCTACAAATTACCCGGAATGAACAGGGACGATGTAAAATTATGAAGTGTGCAGCATTAAGCTCTGCAACTCGCATCCCTATCACTGTAAAAAAAAGCTCGTGCGTCTACTTTCCCCCGCATCACTTGGAGAGCCAATCACGGCAACCTGCGAAGACTGATCAGCAAATGATGATGCCTAAACTAATGTTTAGACCAAGGCACGCAGTCTGAGTTGTGACATTAAGCAATGCAAGCGTGACGTTTTGGATTGCCTAATGTTACAGCTGAGACTGCGGTTTTTGGCTTAGACATATGTTTCGACATCCTCATTCGCTGAGCCGCCTCCGTAAGTTGCGGTCATAGGCTCCCCGAAAGTTCTGCGGGAAAGTAGACGCACAGACTTTTTTTATCGAGGGTAGCAGTCGGTCAAGAGTTTTGATCATAATTCCTGCTCCCGGAGCCGCTTTAAATTAGCTTCGCTTAAATTATCCGCACTTCGTTCCCCGCGTTTCTTGTGTTAGCTGCCATTGTGGCGCATTGTGTAGAGCAGGCGTAATTGACGATTGAAACATGCGAGTTCCCGGTATTTTAGACACAGTGTCAGGAAGCGGAGAAGATATTGTTTGTCTTTGTCGCCGTCAGTTTTAACATTTTTGAACGACGGAAAACCCGTTTCTCGATATTTGAAATTAAACTTCAGATAACTGAGCAAGCGTGAGCTCAAGCACCAAGATTTACACCAGGTGGCGCAAGCTAGCGCCTGTTATTCAAGGTACAGCCGTTAGCATCTATTCATTGGTGCTATCGTTACTCTGCAGCGTGGCTTACTTTGTGACTATAGTGCCACGAATGTTTACGAAAGCCCACGTCTGAACCTGAAACGCTCAGAGTGCGAGATGTGCCTCAGACATTGCAAGAGTTCGTGCACTAACAATGATTCGTCACGAAGAGGAAACCGAAATGTCTGCTTACCCACTAAGTGTACGCAAGTGATGACGCAATCATTGTATCCGATTTGCGAGTCACATTTCGCTACAATAAATTTAAGTCGTCGTTAAGAGCTTTGAGTGAGGTAAGGTCGTCCGATCGCTTTGAGTGATAGTGGTCGCGTCAATGGTCGGTGCCCCGTTCAAGCGACCAAAGACAAGGTTTACGAACAACCAAGTATTTCAAACATTCGATGATGATATAATTTACTACCTTGACTCGAATTTTCGATTGACAGATAAAGATGTCATTCTTCCTCTCGAAGGTGAAAGAAAGAAAATGGTGCGTTTTTTCCTCAAATTACTCCAGCTTCCTAATTATGTCGTTTTTTTACAAGAAGGACAGCTTGAAGGTCAGCTTAAATATTAGAAAAACTTTGTCTGCTTGTCTAATGTTTAAGCTGACCTCCCTCTAAGGACATGTACAGCTCAACTTACCGATGCCATGAAGAGGTTTCTGAGATCGCCAGAATATAGCGATAACTTACTCTGCCGGCTCTAAGCATCCTAGAAATCCAGAAGTCATAACGATGCGTGGCTGATTTTCCTATTAAAAAAAACAATCAAAGATCGAACGCACAAAGGCAATCTCCGGCGATGGAACGAGCGTTGTTCCGGCAGCCAGGACTACATGTGACCAATAGAAACGCGACATTTCGCTGAGATTGCTAACGCCGTTATTATGCTCTGTGTATTATTTTGTAGATGATGAAAGCAAATATGAGTAGTCGCAAAATGTAATTTTAGCGGAGGGGCAACATAATACTGCAATAATTAACTCAAAAACGTCGTACTATGGTTGTTTTCTTTTTTTTTTTTTTTTTCCTTGCGATAGTGATATGTCCGGTCGTCAGTTCTCGAGCGCGCGCTCGCTGCGCTGAATCGTAGTCCGGGCTGTATGGGCAACGAGCCGCGGGCCTTCGAGATATCACTCCGCGGTTCTACCTTTTGGGGGCGCGAGGAGCTTTCGCTTGCTATTAGCTGACAGTGGTACTGGTTTCGAAACTGCCTCTCCAATCGCCGGGGATGACCTCATGTTGTAGCGATCTTTGATTGTTGTTGTTGTTGTTTTTATTAGGGAAAGCGGCCGCCTATCGTTTTGATTAAAGGATTTCTAGGACGCGTAGAGCCGGCGGACTGAGTTATCGCCATATTTAGGCGGCCTCAGAAACTTCCTCCGGGCACCTCTAAACCTGCTATATGCCTGTTTTGTTGTTTCTAATGTCTGTCCTTCCTTCGCTGTGCATTGCCGTCACTGAATCAATGACACCTCGGGAACTGTAGGGAAAATTGTTTTACAATAAATTGTTGAGTGTTCAGCTGTTTTCAAGTCCTCACTTTCTGCTCAAATTGTATTTATCTCCTGACACTTACCTTTGCGTACCTTAGTTAGCAACATTTTTATACTGATCTCAAATATACTGAACTCCCTCCAGAATTTGTACATATATTTCTTCCAGAAAAATTTAACTTCAATTATCCACGCGAAGCGCAAGTTCGTCCGCTTCTTTTGCGGGGGTTGTGGTGACGTCACATATACGCCGAGCACACATTGGCTCTGACTGAAGGGTAGTGGATAAGCCCCAAAGCAAGCATGCCTTGAGGTCTACCCACTATCCTTCAATCAGAGCCAATCAGAGCCCGGCTTTCTGACGTCACCACAACCCCTGCGAAAAAAGCAGACAAACTTTCGGTCCGCATATGTCTCGAAGGCTGGATTAGTTTGAATATTCGCACCCCATACTTCCATCTCTGTTTGCTTAAATCGCTTTAGTTCGGACTCTATCAAGGGGGTCTGCATATCTAATGGAACGAAAATTACCATAGACTTCTTCAGACAGATATCAACATTAAATATCGAAGCATTTTTGTTAAAAATGTTACAATATTCAGCATTTATCTTCGTTATATACGCAGATGTCTGGATAATAAAGGTGTAAAAAATACATCGTAAAACGTAATTTCTTTTATATTAAGTTTCCGTAAAATCCATCATGTTTTATTGCTTCTATTCCTCTGCCGTCTTAGGATCTTCTTAATAAAGACATAAATTATATCCTTTGAACAATTAAACAGGTGCATTTCTCATTAAATATCGGTCAAGGAAAACACGAACTAAACAATTCTTTTAGCCCCAATATCGACCGATAGATTGACTAAAATAAAATTAATACTACTATGAATAACAGAAAAATGCGGGGGTAGGGTTTTACCTTATACAAAGGGTGGTCATAAAGTTCGCATTATTCGTTTCAAAAATGAAGAGTACCGCCCCAGTCTACATGGTGGGACAAGCCTGCCTCCCTGCAGTCTCAGCTCATTTAAGATTTCTCCCACAGTGTCCGATGAATCGCACATCACGGCGGTCGCCGCACGCATGGTACCGCCATTGCTCTAGCCCGCACGAAACTAGCGCCGAAAGGGATGTACAAAGGAACAATAGCAGCTTTGCAGAGCCAACTGTGAGGACTTATATCGTCGCCTGACCACCATGAATCACTTCTGGGTGTACCTGTACGACCCCGAAACGAAGCAACAGTGCGAACAACGGAATCGCGAGGATTCACCACCGCTGAAGAAGGCGAAGACAAAAAACATCATCGGGAAACGTGATGGGGAACGTTTTGTGGAAATATCATGCTCGCGAGCACCAAAAAGTAGCAAGAAAATATTTCCCTAACCTACTGACTTAAAATTACGGGAAGCCGTCTGGCACCACCGAAAATTGACCACAGGAGAGCGTTTGCTCGACCATAACGCATCGGCTCATTCTGCGCAGCAGTCGGTGGTGCATGCGGTTACTTTATAAAACTATGTCCCGCCCCTATTCAGCCAACATTTCACCCAGC